CCAATTCAATTATCGCAATACGGTTCTCGAGTCCGGTATTATGGGCGTTATGAAATCAACGCGGCGAGCAAGTGTACGTTAATTAATTAACTAATTAATTAATCTCCGCCAAAAGTAGCAGTTTACATATCAGAATTGTTTGCGAGTCTCGCCCATCGAGATAATGGAGATGGAAAACGGTATCTGTATATGCCTCGAAATAACGCTCAACCGAATTATACCGGAGCCCCGAAATACGGTAAAATTAAAACCTTACCCGCTTCTAGATGAACTAACATAATCCGGTCTGGAATTTACGGTTTAACCGGTTTACAATACTCATGGTGACACGCGCGAAATTTCGCCGGCCAATTAAGCGTAATTTTTCGCTCGAACTAATTTGCGTTAAGGTAATTCAAAGCTTGCGGGATGTGCAAAACGCAATTCACTCGACTCGAGTGGTATAATCCAGGTTCACCGTTGTCCGTGGAAAAACTGGTTCCAAGGTGTTACGCATGCAACAAGATTGTTCTAGATTCCAAGGTAGGTTCATTCAGGCGTTTGAAAATTGACTCGCGAATTTCAGATAGTGTCATAATTGATTAATTATACAGGATTTTAACAGATAAAATAAAATAAACGATGAGAGAAGGATCTTATAACGAGTCATCATGAAAAATTATGTCGTATAAAAATGTATATATGTGTATCAGGAGAAAAATAACATCTTAAAAAAATTATATCATCCAATCTCATTTTCATTGCGAATATCGAGCAACAGAATATTGATAGGTGGATAATATCCCACAATCATTATACGACATTTTAATGGCGAATTTTGGAAATTAATTAGAGTCATAAATCCTGATATGAAAATGTCGAGATCATAATAGCTTTGGATTATGCAGGTGATCAAAGTTGGCAAAGATAACATTGCATAGATTACACGCATTCAGTTCGCACCTGTGCTTAAATGCGTACCAATTTGTCTGATTGATTTTCAATGTTCAATGAACCATGTAATTATTCCCATCGAACTTTGATAATGAATATTGAATTATAAATTATAAGCAATAAGCAATGTTAAATTTAATCTGATTTTTTTTCCCTAAAACACGCTGCTAAATAAACAATTTGTAAACAAATTATTAATGAATAATCTCTAAATAAATCACATATAAGATTTATATTATTTAAAATTTGTATCTGATTTTATTCAGAGAGAAACAATACCGATCAATTTAACTAAAAATAAAAATATTATACTTACGTAAACACTGATTAAGAAATAAATTATTTTATGTTGTCTTGTTGTTGTTTTTTTATTCACACAATACTCATTCACAAAAGCGCGGTTAATTACAATCGTATGTGCATTAATTATGAAGATACGTGTAACGATCGTGCGATGTTTTGCGTGGTATACTGGAGTATAATCACGTAATATATCTTGTCGCATTGCCAAGAAAGACTTGTACGAGAAAAATTAATGACGACGAACGAGTCCAAAATAACCGAAGGTTTTATCAAATCATAAATGTACAAATGTTAAATTTGTATCATATGATATATTACCGAAATTATGTTATATAAAAATATAATATTAATTATAATTGTATTTAATTAGTAAAAGTAACATAATGTAGCTCGATCCAGAGTCAACTTATTCCATAACCATGATGTTTTATTAATAACTAAATAATAGCCGACAATTTTATTCTGACATAGCACGATACAGTCAAGAATTAATCAATACACGGCAATTTTGCTTCCGTTACACTAAAATCTCATTTTTATTCGCCAGATGTGACAAATCTTCTCGCATCTTATTCAATATTATATTCTATATTATATAACTTTAAATATAAAAACAAAATATATTCTATTTTGCGTTATTTTACATTAAACATTTCGTTATTCAAGTATCTAGTACTTAATGCGTGAATTGATAACTCATGATGTATTCGTAATCCGTAATTAACGCAACAGTTACTTATCATAATATATATATTTTATTTATCATGACAAGTAAAATTTTGCACAATTCATATACTTATTAGGATTAAAATCAAAGTAGGGAATGTAAGTTATAATATTATTATTATTCGATTTTACGAGCAGTAACTTTGACGTCTGCGCAGATTCGAAAATTATTGCACTTTGCATTTTTCATCAATTTAAAAATAATTTTTTTATTTCCAGATAGAGAGCGATAGAATAAACTTCGCAGAACAAAACATTTGACGCGTAAATATATTTTTAGTTTTGTATCGTATTAGATCTCTTCCCCCCCTCTTTCTCGAAACAAAACGAGTTGATTGACACGTGACCTTGATGTTTGTATATAGATGTTTCATAGCATTTGATAGTAGCGCGCTATTGTTTACGCACGGTCATTGTGTTATCATTCATGGGTTGAAGCTCGAGCCGGAAGGCAGTGAACCACTCAAGTGTCGCGTCCTATTCTTCGAGACACAATCGCGACAAGTACCAAAGAATACTAAAGACAAACTTTTATGAACAACGATAATCATTTATCAACTTCCATGATTAATAATTTATTAATGTGCCAAAATGACAGCTTTATTTTACGCGAATTACTTTCGATCTCTAAGACAAAAATCAAAATGATAAGAGAAGATTATAAATCGTTATGCTATTTACGGATAGTTGTTTCAAATCTTATTTAATTGAATAAAAAAATTATATTAAGCAACTTCGGCATATTTTAACAATAATAAATAAAACATTAACTAGAATAAAAAAATATTCGGAAAAAATGCTCTCGATGCGACTTCCGTTATTTTTTCAAATTCTGAAATCTTCGATCAGGGAAACGGGAGAAGAAAAATTCGATTCACTATATATAGATCTATGAGTACGATTTTAGCGTAGTCGTTATCTTGTAAAAGAAAAAAGCCGATCGTATATGTAAAAATCCGCGCAAAAAAGTAGAGTATCGGGAGAAAGACGACCTACGATAAAACTGCATCGGTACTGTCGAACTACCGACGGCTACGATATCGCGACTATTTATTTCGGCGGGGTCACACTGGTCTTCCACCGAACTTTATCCTCGAAACAATTCTACGACCGAGAGTTACGAAACGAGATCCGTATTTCGCCTCCAGTTTCACTCCCCGATAAAAGCGTCGGTCGAAAAATTCAAGAGATACGAGAAATGGCGAGAAATTTATATCACCTTTTCTGTGAATGGTAGAAAAGCTCGATAAACTGGGATTTTCTCGAAGAGGAGGCATCCTGGATTTTGCCATATCATTTTGCAATCAACAAAAAATATATCTAATTTTTTTTCTTTTGTTTAATATGTTTAGTCTCGATCATTATTTTTCAGTTTCTGTATCTTTTTCATTAATTTAAATATATGTGATATATATGATACTTGTATTCACACATAAACTTAAAATTATATAGATGCCAAAAGTTTAAATTAAAAAATAAAACAATCGCATATACAGAATATTTCTGATCAGTCTACCCTTTTCTCTTCTTTTTTTTTGTTCTTTAAAAAGATATCGCGTCGAGAAGGATAGAAAGTACTACGTGGCCGACCACAGTACATACAAAATCCGGCTCGAAGCTGGGATAAGATAATAAATATGCAAAAAGGAGGAGTTTCGATGCCGTAAATAAAAACGGCGGGCTTGCGTGCTGCGCGAGAGAGTCTGCGGTGAGAGAAGATCGTGCGATTCGAAATAAAAGGACGGCAGGGTGGTGCAACAGGGGGTGGAGGAATGCGAAAAGAAGGAGGAAAAGAAGGAAAGGAGAGATAGAGAGGCTGCGTTCTCTTCACCTCTCCACTTTGTAAACGCTGTAATCTCTTGATTTAGTTCGACTTAGCCACGATGAATGCGCTTAGTCGGTACTTTGTCGATTGGCTCTTTCGAGGCAAGAAGACAAGTCGAAGGAGGACAGAAGGGAGAGATGCATGATATACGCGGTGGTTAAACCAGTATCTCGGTTAGACAATCATTCGACGGCGATATTCGCGGAGAACGTCTCTATCGGCGGAAGATTGTGCATGGCGCGAGCTAAATTTGGAAACGATGAGATTCCTCATCGATCTCGAGCTTGCCCGAACGCCATTCATAGCGCATAATCTTCGAATCTATATCCGAATTTATATGCGCTTATTCGAAACAATAATTTGCATTGCCATACACGAGATTAATTAATCTTCCGCTTGATATACTTAAAAAATCTTGATATATAAATCAAATACGAAAAAATTTTTTAATGTCACACGGAAAGAAACACTTTTGTTGGCAAATCTAAAAATTTGAGATACAGATCTGAAAATAATTTTGTTGGCCCATCAAAATTATTTTGTAGAACACTTAAATATGATGATAATATTGCAAAAATGTTTGATCTTCTAACAATCAATTTGAACATCGTATAATAATTTTGAAGACCCAACAAAATCGTTTTCAGATTTGTATCTAGCTAAATTTTTAGATTTGCCAGCAAAAATGTTCTTTCTGTGCATTTGAATGAATATTTCGTTTTTTTTTTTATTTTTATTTATTTAAGAGGATGAAAAGGAAAATATATGTGAGATCAGGCATATTCTCGCGATTTGGAGTTACATGACCAATAATTTCGCTATCGAAATTTATCTTGATAATTAAATTTATATGGTTTACAAAATAAAAAAAAAACAATCTATAAAATTCACTGTGCCGTGAAATAAAGTGAATACGGTAAAGAGAAAGCATTTTTTTTATCCTGCGCATTAACATAATAGTTTTGCATATATATTATCTATATATGTGTCAAATAGCGATGTAACGAGCCGATTATAGCATCTTCGTTTATTTATCGCTGCCGTTTTGCGCAATAATGTTCGTCGGTTAATGCGCAAGTTTAATCGGATATTACAACGTAACAACGTGTAATAAATAGCGCCTCATCGCGACGCCGTTTATCGTGTCGACAAATCGATAGATCATCCCCGACTACGTACGCCAGGGTATCGTTATAGGGTATTCCGTACTCACCTGTACCCGCTGTCGATGCCGATCCTGTTTCCGCTGCCACCTCTCCAGTTCCTCCTTCCTCTGGATCAGCGACCTTATCTCGACAGCCGCCACGGGAGCCGTCGTATCGTCGGGCATATTGCCGCACGAGGGTAATCTTCTCAACGTAGAAATCGACTCGTCCTCCCCCTCGCTGTAACTTTCTACCAGGAATTCCGAGTCGCTCTGGAGTAAT